AGAAGATCTCATTGGGAGAAGAAAAAATGATGCTTTCGGTAGGACAATCCCCATGTACTTTCTGAGAGGGGGCAAGAAAGGAGAAAAGCCCCATGTGTTTTCAGGGGAAGGCCCCCGGAGAGAAGAAAAGACTTTGTCTTCCCCCTCCCGAGAAATGTAGATGTTGGAGAAGAAGAAAGAGGCATGACATTTTCCCATTAAGATCTCATTATTAGAATAGGCCTGCCATCCTCCCATGTGAACAATCTTGAGAGGGCTTCTCTTCCAGAAAACATCCACTGATAGGGAAAACATACACCTTCTCGTCTATACCCGTAAAGTCTTCAGTTCAGTGTGAAAAAGAAAATAATGAATATAATAATATGAAAGGTACAAAGTTTGGGGGGATGAATATACTGTAGCTATTAACACTATACTATTTTAAAGGTACTTAATACAGAAAAAGTCCTACAATAGGGTTAAATTCTGTCCTCAAATGTTCATGAGCAACTCCCACTGGCTTATCGTAGAGCAAAATTTGGTCAATTTCATCTTCTATATTACAAAGTTCTGTTGGAAAGAGTCCTCCATACTGATAAATTTCAGGTCTCCATGCAATATCTGGGCATATATAAACTATTTTTTCTTGGACAAGAATCACCCTTTTTCTGAAACTCCAAAATGACTCAATAAATTTTCTCCAAATGAAAAAATGAAATAAAAGCTGACAGGATAATCTGAGCAAATCCACAGAATCCCCTGAGGTGGTGCTAGCATTAATACATTTCATGCAAATGGGAACAGCTTTCACAGCTTTCACCAGCTGGGCTCCTTTTTATCAAATCGTAATCAGTGAAGTATCCATACAGGTGTTTGTGGATAGGTATATTATTTTTCAAGTTTGAGTCAGTGAACTATATGTACAAGTTTGTGTATTATATATATTATATATACATTTTAAAGATATTGGCCAGTAAGAGATTTACATGGATTTATCAAAGGTCAATAAAAACACTCAGACTGGATTTCGTAACATTTTTTATTCCTAAAGCATTTGAACATCTAAGCATACTGTCAGCAATGTTAATACTGCTTTTGGCACTGACCCTGCAATCAGATTTCTGTGTGTGAACCTTATGCTCCTGTGGAGTCCCGTTGAAGACAGTGGGCTTCAACAGAGATGGAAGTATCAGCAGATCCGATTGCCGGGACCCAGCTTTAGTCGTTATTTTTTCTACAGTATACTTTCAGGAAAAATGAGGGACTCTAGGGAGTTCAGTGTTTGTGCAAGTAGAAACTGTTTTAGATCAGACATTGTACTACTGAGAAGGGTTAAAAGAACAAGTGGGCTATTAGACTGTAGAAGTACAACAGATAGTTTGAAATTCCTCCTTTTTCATACTGTAAATCTGTCTTGTGAGGTTGGTTCCTTTCTGCACACCATTAGTGGATATTGAGGACTAAACCTTCTACACTATACAAGTAGCTCAAGTTATATCCAGGTTGCTGAATCTACCCCTCCCCCCAGCCAGTAGTTTTTCTCCTGAGTATTAGAACATTTTGTAGGGATAATATGGCGTAGGGGGACTAACCTCATCTATTATATGGTAATGGAGGTCCAAGGTTATCTTTTACATCCATTACAGGTAAATAGAAACATTGAAGAGATATGCTGCAGATATAAATTGAAAACTGTCGATGGGGAGCACTGTTTTCACTCCTATTAGCTTGTCATTCCTAAATGTACCTAAAAAACTGAGGAACAATACAACGTTTATTCCATAGAACTGAACATTGTGGTGTCTTTTAGGAACAGATGAAATATGACGGGTTTATCATTAAAAAAACCCTGATACTTGTGTATATGTATCACAAGTCTGCGTGAACTGTCTGCGTGAACTGTCTCATATATGATGGTATGGTATGTTGTAAAGGTTTCACCAACATAAGTTAGTGATTTCTGTATTACAAGTGGCCTATACAGGTCATCCCAAATGAGTGCCAGTAAAACATTTATATCACTAGATCATTAACTATTCAGTATATGCTCTTACATTTTACAGAAAAACAAATTTAGAAATATTTGAGTTTTTAAAATTATTATTGGTACTTTTATTCATCTTGTTCCATCTGTAATGCCAGGTGTGAGTGTGGATGTATATGTATATTAGGGCTGTCAATTAATCACAGTTAACGGATGCAATTAACGCAAAAAAAAATTAACTAGATTAAAAATAGTCATGATTAATCACAGTTTTAATTGCACTGTTAAACAATAATAGAACACCAATTTAAACTTCTTATAAATATTTTGGATGTTTTTCTACATTCTCAAATATATTGATTTCAATTACAATACAGAATACAAAGTGTACAGTGTTCACTTTATATTATTTTTATTACAAATATTTGTACTGTAAAAAAGATAAAAGAAATAGTATTTTTCAATTCACTTCAGACAAGTCCACTCAGTCCTACTTCTTGTTCAGCTACTCGCTAAGACAAACAAGTTTGTTTACATTTACAGGAGATAATGCTGCCTGCTTCTTATTTACAATGCCACCTAAAAGTGAGAACAGGCATTCGCATGGCGCTATTGTAGCCGGTATTGCCGGATATTTACATGCCAGATATGCTAAATATTTGTATGTCCTTCATGCTTCAATATATAGGCTTTAAAGTTTTTGCATTGTTTTGTTTTTAGTGCAGTTATGAACAAAAAATAATTCTACATTTGTAAATTGTATTTTCACAATAAAGAGCTTGCTCAACAGTACTTGTATGAGGTGAATTGAAAAAGACTATTGCATTTGTTTAGCTTTTTTACAGTGCAAATATGCGTAATCAAATATAATAATAATATAAAGTGATCACTAGACACTTTGTATTCTGTGTTGTAATTGAAATCAATATATTTGAAAATGAAGAAAAACATCCAAAATATTTATAATAAATTTAAATTGGTATTCTGTTATTGTTTATCAGTGTGATTAAAACTGTAATTAATCACAGCAATTTTTTTTAATCTTGCGATTATTTTTAATAGTTTGACAGCCCGAGAGAGAGAGAGTTCATATAAAAATATTAGTAACTTCTGCAATTATAGGAACTAATAGTATAGTTTTAAGCTTTTTGAGGCAGGGACTTTTCTGTTTGCATAGTGCTAGCATATTGTGGGTGCTATTTGAAACAGAAAATTACTATTATGTATGACTTTTTTGCTGGTAGCACCCACAGTGTACTAGCTGCTGTGCAAACATAACGGCCTGATCCAACATTCCTTAGGTTATTAGCACTTTCCACATATAACTACTAATAAATAGAATTAGCTGGGAAACAAAATTTTTGATCCTTGAAAAATTTCAGTATTTCAGAAAAAAAAAATATGAATCAAATGAAAAAGTCAAAATTTTTCATGGGACTGAAATTCTGAAATATTTTGTTTCATAAACACCCAAAATAAAATATGATCCTCAGAATCCCTTGTTCCACAGCAGCCAGCCTGGCAGGCTGTTTGAATGCCAAGTTTTCTATGCTCCATGGACTCAACCAGCCAGTCAGGCAGATGGCCAGCTTTGCAGTCTGGAAAGCCAGCTAGCCCAGCAAGCCAACCATCCAGGGAAATGGGCAGCCCACCCACCTGACTGCCATGTGGGAAGCTGAGGAGCCGGCCAGCTGGGGACCCGTCTGCCTGGGGAGCCAGGAAGCCCACCAGGAAGCCAGGTAGCCCAGAGAGCTAGTTAGTTGGGAAGCCAGCCAGCATGGAAAGGCAGCCAGCCTTTCCCAGGGAAGCTGGGTGACTGAGGCGCCAGGGATCCAGGGAAAGCCAGCCTTCCAGTGTGACTGCCAGGGAGCCTCAGGAGCTGGGTGAGATGGTAGGAAGCCAGCCAGCCAGCCTGCCTGTGTGCCTAGTTTCCATCAAAAGTTTCAAGGGTCCTGCAGAATATTTCAAGTCCATCAAATCAGCATTTTCTAATGGAAAACTGTTCAGTTGGAAATGTTTTGACCAGCTCTATTACTAAAGTTATCTAATTATGTGTATCAGAAATAGTGTTTTTCATCCAGCGTGGTGTGTTTTTTATTTATTTATTTTAAATATTTTTAGAATGAATTCTGGAAATGAATATAAAAAATCTTACATCTCTCTTAAGGGGCAGCAGTCTTTTACAATTACTTTTCTCCTGCTCCACAGGGCAATATATCTAACGTGCTTTGCCTTTAAGAAATCATCAAGTTCTCAATCACTGTCAAGCTCATGGATTCTCGTTAGCTTCTGTAATCCTTACCAGAAAAGTACCATATTTTTATTTTTTCTGATATCCAGATTTTTTTTTTTAATTTTGTTCCTTATTTCTTAGATCAGTCATTTTTATTCTCTAATTTCTCCTAAATGTTTTTCTTCCTTGCCAGAATAAATGTGTTGTATCAATTTTTTATTTGGTTTTATTTTTTGTAAAGAGGAAAACAAAATATTTTAAAGTGTATTGAAAGTTTTATTTGATGTATTGTTAAAACCAAAGTTATCTTGCTCTCAAAGGCTCCCCCTTCAGCAGTCCCTTTCTTTTCATCACAGCAATTAAGCACATACTTAACTACTTTGGTATCTGATCCTGTGCTTTTAAGTCAATGGGAGCTTTACCATTGATTTAAGTGGCCACAAGATCAATCCCTTGCTGAATAGGAATAGACTGATGTATGTGCTTCTCGGGGCCTAATTTACTATATCACACTCAGATTAGAAATTGCTGTTTTTTATAACCAAAACACAAATTGTGTGTTCAGTAACTGCTGTCTTTACAGTCTCCTCATGATGCGCAGAAGTGCAGAATTCTAATTCATGTCTGCATGAATATCAATATAATTTGCCTTATTTCAACATTGAAAAAATAACAATAATTTTGAATTTTGAAAAAAATATACTTTCTCTGAATGATGCATAGAGGAAATTCTAGCAATTTCAAGCAAATATCAGAATATGTATCAACTATACATGACATATTTTTTTCTCCGACTCTTTTCAGAGCCAAATTTTGTGTCATCCTATGACATTGGAAACTTCACCTACTTCTTCTTCCGAGAGAATGCAGTAGAGCATGACTGTGGGAAAACAGTCTTTTCGCGGGCTGCTCGGGTCTGTAAAAATGATATTGGGGGCAGATTTTTGCTAGAGGACACCTGGACAACCTTTATGAAGGCTCGTTTGAACTGCTCTCGCCCTGGAGAAATTCCATTTTACTACAATGAATTACAAAGCACTTTCTTCCTGCCAGAATTGGACTTAATCTATGGGATCTTTACGACTAATGTGTATGTACCTTACATAATATTTGTTAATTTTTCTGTTATATTCAGAGTAACGTCTAAGGCTCTCAAGATCCCCTCAGGTTCTACATGTGGAAGGGATATTGTATAAACATGAGCAGGCTGTCTTTCAGACAATCAGAATCTACAATGAGTTAGGTCCTTAATGGGCTCCAGGAGATGCAGAAATGATGAGCAGGTGGCCTGTTACAGTAATTCAGATGACGTTTTAGCATACTTGATGCTAATTGACTGTGTACAAATGGATAATATGAAACTTACTTTCTTTCATCTACTAGTTTTTGTTTTTTGCAATAAGCCTGACAAGCATAAGGAGTCAAAGTGCTTTTTAGTCATAGTTGTAAATCCAAACTGCTACACTGCTTGTTCAGTCGTTGGCAGGTCTGATCCCCAAGGATTATTTTCTCTTCCCGATACATCTGAACAATAACAATTTGAAGCTTAAACAGTAGATTTGCTTTCTAAAGCCTTGTTTGAACAACAGAGTAAGTTAGAAGAAATAAATTCTATGTGGACCACTTGTCAGCACTTTTCCCCACAGTGGAAGTTTGTGTAACTGTCTGCCTGCTTCATTATCTATCCATTTATCTAACATTGTGAAAAAAGGACAAATCAGGAGTTTAATTCCATGAGTTATGTGTATTGTTAAAAGAGTAATTCCAAACCTTAATTCACTGTTAGCTGTTGGGCATTCAATTTATTTTGCTTCTGCTAAAAGCATTTTTATAAATATTTTAAAACTCCCAAATACTGCAGTTCTTTTTGGAGATAGTTTTATTTACGTTTTTATGCCAACACAAAGTTGTAATTTGCAGCTGAGTCCCATTTTAGGTTCTCGTAGTTACTGTATACAGATCTATATTGTTTACACTATGCAGAATTAGCACACTGTTGTACTTTATGTCTCATTTTCAACATGAAAATAGGAGAATGGTATAACTGGGTTGGCCAGGGTTTAACTCTTTGAGTCAGTGAGTTTATAGAGTGTTCAGTTCAAGTTACCTCCTTATGGGCTTATTTTGCCAGCCAGTGGGCACTTTGTTGGGATAGTGATAGTGTGGTGTGGAAGATGTGGGCCTGAGTGCAGATCTCTTGGTTTCTGATCCTGCAAGAACTTGGGAGTATTTCAAAGGGAACAGACTTAGCCCCTGTCACAATACGACTGGCTGATTAGAAAAGGAGAAATATTGATGGATAGTGAGATGCCCTTCTTATTTGGAATAATGGTGGCTTTGATTTGTGAAATGAAGTATGTAAAAGAACAGGATTGGGAGGCAGGAATTTCTTAGTTTCAGTCCAAGCTCCGTCAATATTCTGGACAAGCCACTTTACCCATTATTATTACCCATCCAATGAAGTGAGCTGTAGCTCACGAAAGCTTATGCTCAAATAAATTTGTTAGTCTCTAAGGTGCCACAAGTACTCCTTTTCTTTTTACCCATTTTTAGATTTCACATCTAAAAAGTGGGGATGATGATACTTTCAGTATGTGTCATATGGGGGTGTAGTAAGAATGGCTAGTTAATGTTTATAAAGTGCTTTGAAGATGAAGAGCTTGATTGCAGTAGTGAGCAAGTTGCCACCTCTTATATTCATTGGGGCTGCTGCAAATTTTCAAGGATTTACTCTCCCACCCTTGACTGCTAGGCCAGAACAGCTTTTAAGTCCAACCAGGATGCCGGTGGTGTGCTGCTGTGAGCATTTGAATCCTGTCCCTGACCACTTTCTGGCTGGGCCCACCCATGTTGTGAAGTACTAATAGAGTTGCAGAGTTAATGAGGGGAAATGTTGCTTTTTGTGGGCAGTTAATTGATTCCTTGATGTCTTCATTTATCTCATGTTTTTATTTTGTTTTTCAGGAACAGCATAGCTGCCTCAGCAGTTTGTGTTTTCAACTTGAGTGCCATAACTCAGGCTTTCAGCGGACCATTTAAATATCAGGAGAACTCCCGCTCTGCCTGGCTGCCTTACCCCAATCCCAACCCTAATTTCCAGGTACTTACACAGAAGGGGAGGGCACTAGTCCACAACAGTCTTCTTTAAAATGTAGCACAGTTTAAAGGTATCAAAGTATAGACTGTGAGACAAGTCATTGGAGTTTTGTATCTGGAGCCAGTCCAGTTACCGGGTAAACAAATCTATTTAGATAGATATCCGTGAAATGAGCTGCACTATATCGTGTTTGGTTCACATTACTGCACTATATGTGAAATGAACTGCACTATATAGAGATTGGTTCACATTACGAAACAGTGTCATTGATAATTGGCACAATATATCCTTCTGTTACCTTTTGCCCAAATTAGCCAAAGGAAGAAAAGACAACTTAAGAACAATATTGCATAAAACTGGTGAGCTTTTAAAAACGGTATTTACTGGGACAGTTTTTCTCAATATAGCTTGACTAATTTTACATCCCCTGAAATTTGATTTTTGTGAGCTACAGCTCACTTCATCGGATGCATCCGATGATGTGAGCTGTAGCTCACGAAAGCTGATGCTCAAATAAATTTGTTAGTCTCTAAGGTGCCACAAGTACTCCTTTTCTTTTTGCGGATACAGACTAACACGGCTGCTACTCTGAAACCTGTATTAAAGCTGTGCTTCTTGATACATGAAAAACTAAAGTTCCATCTGCCTCATCAAACTTTATGTACACAGTAGAGAGAGATTAGAGATCAAGCACACTGGCTGGGATGAACGCAAGGCTAATTTTATATTCCGTTGACACAGATTCTCATCTCCTTGCTCACTGCTCCCTAGTGACAGGTTTCACTTTAAATATTCACAGCTAATACCACATCCCCCTTTCTGAAAACAGAAGAATGATAAAACCTTTATATTAAACAACATTTAATAGGAATAAAATATCAAAACTAAACAAGAATTGACATCCCTCTGAAGGACAGGGTAGACTGCCTGAATCTTCAGCCTTTTGGCAGAGATTTATTCTGCCCTTTTAAGATATTTGGCTACTCATCCTCTGACTTTCTTGATTTCTCAAGATCTCCTGTCTTCCTGGAGGATTACATAAGGTCATCTTTCCCTAGCTGGATATCTCCTTGCAGTAAGATCTGGAAGACACAGATGGTGATGAGGCTGTATTGTACAGAATCTAGTTGGGAAGAGATGGTTGGGATAGTGGACATCAATTTGCTACAGGTTTTGAGCCATATATGAACAGGGCAAGATGAGACTCTGAGGATTTAAGAAAGAAGTTGTTTTATTTTGTTTTTACTGTGCGTTCTGCTTCACCATTACTCTGAGGAGACTGTGGGCTGGATTGACATGAGTGAAAGCATAAGTACCTGAAACCTCCTAAAGGTCTCAGAGGAAGAATGAGGACCATTGTCAGAGGTTACTTGCTCTGGAATCCTGAAATATGGGTTTTATCCTCCCCATAACTGCACTTGATGTGTGTGATCAGGTATGCCAACCCCACATTGAGCCTGCAAGGGTTATAAGCTTCGTGAGCCTACTCAGCCCCACCCTGCTATAGCTGCACTCACTGTCAGGTAATGAAGGGCAGTTAAAATTGGAAGAGGATATCTCATTAGCTGGCTGACCAGGGAAGAGGAGAGACCTATCCTTTGCTTCCTGGGGAAAGGAGCAGCCCAGAATCTCTGCAGAGACTGCTGATTTTCATAACCCCTCCAGAAAAAGGGAGGCCTGGCACAGGACTAGTAAGTTTATTATCTTCATGGGAATATTTGCTTTATAAAAAGTCTACTGGGCTTCCTGAGAAAGGTCTGAAGGGCCTAACAAGATGGTTGCAGGGAAGCTCTTCCCATGGTGTGTGGGGAACTGCCTCAGAAAACCCAGTGGACTTTTGCACCCTACTCGAGTCTGCCCTGTAGTTGTCTTTGGGCCCTGTAGTTGTCTTTGGACCCTGAAGAGCATGATCACAATATGGTGTTAAGCAATCAGGCAATTTCAGTGAATTTTGAGAAATAATCAGTCATCAAAAGACAGATTGCATTGTCCAGATAGAAAAGATCAATCCCAACTTTCTGCCATGGCCTTTCTGGTAGAGCAGATGGTAGTAATACTTCCAACGGATTGGTTCTCATGTGAGCACAAATATCCTATTTCTCAACTCTCTGTTGTAGTTGTTTGCTCAGTACAGACTGCCAAACAGACTATTTAACTCTCTCCCTGCATTTTGTAATACCTTGGGGTCTCCCATGCAGTCTGTCAAGGATTTCCTGTTGCACTGATGTAGGGATAACCAGCTGGTTTAGGATAAGATCCCCAGAAACCACCCAACATGGTTTCACAGAGGTTTCAGACTATCTCTTTTGTCCAGCCTTCTTTGCAGTGAGTCATGACTTGACTCAGTAATTCATCTTGCTTCTTTTTCAGTTCTTGCGGGCATTCATGGTCAGTTTCCACATGAAATGTTGTGCCCACTAGAAAGTCTCTGAAATATTCACAAGGCTATGTGTAGTGGCTAGGACATCTTTTTTTTAATTTGTGTGTAGTGCTGCTCTGTATTGGTGAGTGCTAATGATTCATGTGCTGCTAGGTGCCACAGAGAAGGTGATTGTTCCTGAAGGAGGACTGCCCCTGTCAGATGAAGCTGTCCTGGTTTTATTTGGCTTATATAGGACCAAAATATGCCAAATGGTAGCCTACTGAAACAAAAAGTCCCAAAAGGTTGATGAAGTTTTTTAGCAGTGCAGATTCTGCCGCTAGTGGTACGTGCCAAAACCTACACTGGAAATCCAATTTTGGGAAGACTTTCGTTTCACTAAGATGTCCAGGGAGATGTTCAATACATGGGTGTACATGTCACTGTCTGCAGACATTCTCATTGAGCTTGGTAAAATCTACACACATCAAAACTTTGTCATTTGGTTGTGGGACCACTGCCCTGCCTGCACTCCATTCACCTTGGGTGTCTATTTTGGAAATGACATCCATCTGCTCCATGCAGCTAAGATATGCCTTCACCCTGGGCAATACAGGGAGGGAGACTCTTCTAGGTGTCACAGAGTAAATGGCTTTGCTTTTGGTGTAAGTTTAATGTGGTATTGTCCCACTAATATTTCTAGTACTTGGAAGAATATCGAGAACCTCTTCTTGATCTAAGCTTTGAGGCCAGTGGTGACATATAACCATGCCTGGGGGTTGTGGTTGCTGGGAGGCCAAACATAGCAATGTGTAGACCATCTAAACATAAACATAAACTTCGTGAGATGTGGTCTTCTCTCCAAGTTTTAGAGGGCCAAAAAATTCCTTTTCACATTTAATAGGGACTGTACTGGGCCTTTCAATAGCCTTTTTTTTTTGCTCTTGAAGAGTTGATGTTTTCATCCTCCTATGAAGTGATTCTAGAATCAGTGTTACATCAGCACATTTGTCTATTTTGAAGTTTATTTTATAGGTTTCCCAAGGTGATTGTTGTGCTCGATGGGGGGTTTTGTGGTCATATCCGATTGCTCCAAGTGGGCTATCTCAATGTCTTTTAGGTCATTGTCTTGAAAGACAGGTGTTACCATGCATTGAGACCAGCAGACTGCTGCATAATGTTTGCCTTTTAGACATTTCCTGCATGTGGTATCTCCTGCTGGACAAAGCCGTTGGCTGGGAGGTAGTTTGCCACACTATGAGTATTCTTTCCTGCTCTTGTTGTATTCTTTTTCTTTACTCCATGTTAGCATAACCCCCTCTGTATTCCTTTGTACTTATATTGAACTGGGTAGGTATTGTTCCTGGGACTCCTGAGATATTTTCCTCCCCATGTCTGTGGCTTCTATATTGGGTTCCTACTCAAAGTTATTCCTGAGAAGAGTCTGTTGCTTCTTTATCAACTGATTTTGGAGGACTATGTTCTTGGCTGTCTCTAATGTTAGGTTAGGATAATTTTGGAGTCTTTCTAATAGTTGGTCTGTCCCTCAGCCCTAAAACAAGCCTGTCTCTGATTAATTCTTTGCTCATCTCTCTGTAGCCACATCTCTGTACATCTCTTTGTAGCCAACTACTCTCTGTAGTTCTGGATTAGGGTGTGCAGGGCTGCTATGAAATCATTCACTGACTCGCCCTTCTCTTGCTTAGTGAAATTGTGCTTGCTCAAAAATCATATTGTGCTGTGACATGAAATGCTTCTCCAGTACTTCTTTAATTTTATTGAGCTGTTTCACCTGAGCAGCTATGAGCTTTCTTGGAAGGATAATGTTGTCTGCTGCTAGTCCCACTGTACAGAGCAGGGTATTGTCTCCTCTCTGGTTGCTAGTATAAGCCAGAAACCAGACGGAACCTCTGGAATCTGCTTACCCAGAATGGCCATCCCTCAGGGTGCTGGACATCAAATTCTGTTGTGGGGAGGGGGGTATTTGGGAAAAGATGGGATCAGATGTAGGCATCTCTGCTGTTTTTCCACTTTTTGCCCTCCCCCCGCTTTTTGTTTGTTTGTTTATTTGCCTCTGTATGGAGTAAGGTGGTGTGGCCTTTAAGGAAGCAAGCTGGTATTGCTGTGGACCACATAGCCTTATTTTTAGTGTCCCTTACTCATCAAAGCAGTTCTCTCTGGATTCTCTGTGTTTTCAAGCCTTTTCTCTGCTTGTTGTACTGCTAGCTCTGTGCACTATTCTGGCTGGGCTAGAGGGCCTGCTTGTCTACCTTCCTGTACTTTCTCCTTTCTTCGGGGATGTTCTCTGATCTGTTGGGTCTTTATTCAATCCCACTCTGATACCATGCAGAGATTACAGAGACCCAGCACACTGTGGTTGGGATGAATGCAAAACTGACTTTGTTTCCTGTTCACATAGACTCTTACCCCCTTGCTCTATGTCCCCTACTGGTCACTCTAAGTGGTCACAGCTAACACCACATACACTATGTTTATGCTCACCCCAAAGCATGATGTGGTTTGAAAAGCTGATGTATCTTGAAGGGTAGCAGTATAAGGGCTCAGTTTTGATCCCCTGATATTCACAAATCTATGAAAGAGGAACAATGTATTCAAGTGTGAGGCTAAAATTAGCATCTAGCCCAAGGGTAACCATGCTGCAATACTCTTGTCCACTTCACCTGTGCCAGAACAATGTGAAGAGGGAGCATTGTTTTACAGAAAAGGGCAGAAATGTTTTTCCTAATCCCTGGTCAGAAAATAATGTATCTTTCTGTGCAAGAAAATCCACAGATATTAACAAAGTCTTCAGCCCTTTTACAGCTTTGAGGGCATAACTAGGGTGACCAGGTGTCCGATTTACAATGTTGGCAACCCTAGGTACAACCACGCTTGCCATTGAAAGGTATAAGGAGTGCCTCCCTAAAGTGCTCACTATTTTACTGTAGCAAAAGCAATAGGTGCTTCAGTGTAACAGGGAATAAAAATAGTTTGTGAAGCTTTGTGCCCCTTCATTTAAACTTGTTAGCTGTAGTGTAGCTAAAACACTATACATCCCCTGATTCCATATTGTAAAACTAATTAGTCCAAAGGTAGGGAAATCTGTGAAACTTTCTAAAAAAAGAAAAAAATTTAGATAAGGACAGATAAATTTTCCTATTTTTCTGCCCAGAAAGTTCCACAGATCCGAACAATACGATTTTATCAGCAATGACAGGTTTCAGAGTAACAGCCGTGTTAATCTGTATTCGCAAAAAGAAAAGGAGTACTTGTGGCACCTTAGAGACTAACCAATTTATTTGAGCATAAGCTTTCGTGAGCTACAGCTCACTTCATCGGATGCATCCGATGATGTGAGCTGTAGCTCACGAAAGCTGATGCTCAAATAAATTGGTTAGTCTCTAAGGTGCCACAAGTACTCCTTTTCTTTTATCAGCAATGCGGCTCCAGTGGGAGAAATAGAAAGGGAAACTATATAATATCAGTAGTTTACAAAGTTAACCTGTTTTTACTGAGATACTATTGTGTGCAGCACCTTTCACCTAATGCTGATGTTTGTATGTCTGACTTGTAGAATTTAATGAAGGTGTTGAAAGAAGACCACATGGATGCCTTTTAGGAGTCAAAAGATCTTTACATCATTGAAGTAGAATCTCCAGCAGGGGACTTGCGGGTGGTTTCCACTTCCTTTGTGCTGCCTGAGTGATGCAAATGAAGCAGAACAGGGCAGAGAATCTGCCCCAAATTATTGATTAGAGCCCCAGGCCCTTTTTGTAGTAATATGGTTGACTCTAAGGCTGAAAAGACTGGGCACCAGTTGGGTTAGCTAACTGCAGAATCAGTCTATATTTATATGGAGAGCTTTTGAGTTATTGGTATTTTGAGTGTGAAGATTTCACATGGAGCAGAATAAGTATAAGTATAATTAGGGAGGCCAAAAAGGAATTTGAAGAGCAACTAGAAAAAGACACAAAAACTAATAGCAATGTTCTTTGTAAGTACATCAAAGGCTGCCAAACAGTCAGTGGGGCCACTGGATAACTGAGGTGTTAAAGGTGCACTCAAGGAACATAAGGTTATTGCAGAGGAGCTAAATGAACTCTTCGCATCAGTCTTCACTGCAGAAGATGTGAGGAAGTTTCCCACACATGAGCCATTTTTTTTAGGTCAGAAATCTGAGGAACAGTCCCAGATGGAGGAGTCAATAAAGGAGGTTTTGGATCAAATAGATAAATTAAAAAGTACTAAGTCACCAGGACCAGATGGTATTTACCAAAGAGTTCTGAAGGAACTAAAATATGAAATTGCAGAACTACTAACTGTGGTATGTAACCTATTGCTTAAATGAGATATATTAGATATATATCGACAGGTTTCAGAGTAACAGCCGTGTTAGTCTGTATTCGCAAAAAGAAAAGGAGTACTTGTGGCACCTTAGAGACTAACCAATTTATTTGAGCATGAGCTTTCGTGAGCTACAGCTCAAAGCTCATGCTCAAATAAATTGGTTAGTCTCTAAGGTGCCACAAGTACTCCTTTTCTTTTTATTAGATATATAGATACATATTAGATAAGATATATTAGAGCTGGAAAAGGTACAGAGAAGGGTATGGAGCAGCTTCTATATGAGGAGAGATTAAAAAGACTGGGAAGATATGATAGATGTCTATAAAATCATGAATGGTGCAGATAAAGTGAATAAGGAAGTGTTATTTACCTCTTCACAAAACACAAAAATCAGGGCTCACCCAATTAAATTAATGGCAGCTGGTTTACAACAAACAAAAGGAAATACTTCTTCACACAGCGCACAGTCAACCTGTGAAACTCACAGCCAGGGGATGTTGTAAATGCCAAAAGTATAACTGAGTTAAAAAAGAATGAGATAAGATCCCAGAGGATAGGTCAATCAAAGGCTATTAGCCAAGATTTTCAGGAATGCAACCCCATGCTCTGGGTGTCCCTAAGCCTCTGACTGCAGGATGCTGGGACTGGATGACAGGGGATGGAAAGAATTATTCTTCATAACTTACCTTTTTCTGAAGTTATGCTACAACTTAATCAACAAGGAGTCCGGTGGTACCTTAAAGACTAACAGATTTATTTGGGCAAAAGCTTTCGTGGGCTAGAGCCCACTTCATCGGATGCATGGAGTGAAAATTACAGATGCAGGCATTATTATATTGACACATGAAGAGAAGGGAGTTACCTCACAAGTGGCGAACCACTGTTAACAGGGCCAATTCGATCAGGGTGGATGTAGTCCACTCCCAATAATAGATGAGGAGGTGTCAATTCCAGAGGAGGCAAAGCTGCTTTTGTAATGAGCCAGCCACTCCGAGTCCCTATTCAGGCCCAAATTAATGGTGTTAAATTTGCAAATGAATTTTAGTTCTGCTGTTTCTCTTTGAAGTCTGTTTCTGATTTTTTTTTTTTTTGTTCAAGTATAGCTACTTTTAAATCTGTTATAGAATGCACAGGGAGATTGAAGTGTTCTCCTACTGGCTTTTGTATGTTACCATTCCTGATGTCCGATTTGTGTCCATTTATTCTTTCACGTAGGGACTGTCCAGTTTGGCCAATGTACATGGCAGAAGGGCACTGCTGGCACATGATGGCATATATAACATTAGTAGACGTGCAGGTGAATGAGTCTCTGATGGTGTGGCTGATGTGGTTGGGTCTTCTGATGATGTCGCCACACAACATGGTTCTAAGATTTCATATGGGTGTTAAGATTTATTTTACAATATATATATATATATATATATATACTTTTATTTATTTACAGTGTGGTACAATGGACCAGGGTCTGTACATGAATCTGACTGAGAGGAATCTTCAGGATGCCCAAAAATTTATTCTAATGCATGAGGTGGTTCAGCCAGTTATTCCAATTCCTTACTTCATGGAGGACAACAGCCGATTTTCCCATGTGGCAGTGGATGTGGTGCAGGGCAAGGACATGCTTTTCCATATCATCTATCTGGCCACAGGTACGACTTAATGGTGCTGAGAAAACTGTAGAAAGTCGGAGATCCTTTTCAATGGTCTGTGCATCAGGTCTGAAATGCCTAAACCATGCTGGAGAACTGAGTTTGTAATCTGACAGCATTAACTGTGCCCTTCACCTATCCAAAGTAGCTAAGCTAAACACCATGCATTTTGTGTGTGTGTGGTTCTTTTGTACAAAATGTGAAAAATCAAGGCTCTGTCTCCTCTCCATGAAAAGGGGCTAACTTTTCAAATGGAGGTTTCCTCCCCCATGCCTGTTCCACAAGGTTAAAGGGGAAAACCCCACTTCCCCTGGTGCGACAATATGCTAGAGATTCCATGAGTGGTGTCTTGCTGAGTTTCATTGCCTCTTTCTTGGTTTTTGCAGCATAGACTATGATCTTGCCCATAGTTTGTAAAGTGTTTTGGGATATTTTCGTATGGAAGATGTTACACAAATGCCACATATTATTATTACTATTGGTATTTTTTATATTTATTTTTGTCCCTCATTCCCCTACTGCTTCAGCCAGCAAGAATTGGATGATAAATCCCTTTTCAGGTCACCCCTAAATAATTTATCCTTAGAAAAGCTTTCCTACTTAGCCTTTTGCCCTGAAGTTCAGAAATGAAAGAAAATATTATTCCGTTGAGAATGTCACTGTCTTCTTGTCTATAAGGACTTTAGTAGAGAATGAATTTTTGTCCTAACCTTTTATAAGGTATTTGAGAATGTGAGAACTGTTTCTAATGCACACTGCTTTACAGAGTGAGTCACTGACTACATTATTCCACTGATTGAAATTCAGATACAAAACAATTGAATTGAGTAATAGCGGTATATAGGCTGCTCCTGTAAACTCTTCTTCATATAATTAGTCCTCACAGAACTAGTCCTATAGACATCAGTGGGGGACTACTCAGGTCAACAATGGTTTTCAGGATTGGTTTATAGTTAGTATAGTAACAAGTATGGAGATTTTAGGGAAAGAGCTCTTTATTAAAATAACAACAGCTATTTGCTTGAATCTGCTCTCATTGAAGTCAATGGCAAAACTCCCATTGATTCCAGAGAGAGCAGGATCCATATTTCTTGTTATAAATCTCCAAAATTACAGCTTCTTAATGAAAACCCTTAATGAAAACATCTTGTTCTTTGGAGCATTGTGGTTCAATCTACAATGTGACTTTCTCTAGATACTTCTGAATCCAATCAATAAATCGATCTTTTATTAGGACCCTGCTTCTTTTTGGACTATTATTATGACATTATATTATTATTTGGTGTTTTCAGTTGAGACAGTGCTTCCTCGTGCACTATCATGGAATATCAACCTTACTCATTGTTGTACTGCAAACATATGCTGTGCAATAAAAGACTTTAATGGGCTATAGCACCCCAAGGATTTGGACAAGTATAGTCAAAGCAATTTAATAAATTATAGTATCTTTAGTGAAATCATAGCCATACAAAATATTGTTTATCCTGTGCAACCCCCATGATAGAAATTGGATCACCAAAATACGTTTTGAATTGTTTTTGTACTGGGTTGCTATTGCTGCATTGAGAGAGATTTGATCCCATCATAATGAGAGTATCTAGAATTATGTAAGTTCTCACAGTTCCTGATTGTCTCCAGGTTTTTAATTTTGTTTACTGTGCTTTCTGTTATAACTGATTTGATAAATGTAGGCCCCCAAGTTTTAAGCCTCTGAGGCTGGCTAACAAACAGCCCTATTCATTAAAAGGTATATGCTCTTTTTATGCACCTTTCATGCTGATAAATTAGGTCTATGTCCTCCGGTCCTTATTCAGGCAAAACCATTTCTTGAATTCAAAAGCTATTGAGGGCACTTAGCCTCTCATAGGAGCCACTTGGCACCTTGTAGTTGTGACATTGAGAGAGAAAGAGAGTGGGAGAACATGCACATAATTAGAGCTAAGGATGGAGGTTCAGCTTTAATTTTAATGTTACTAAGTTTGTCAATATGAACTGTGAGCCAAAACCTTGGTTTAAACCTAATAGTTGCATTTAATTTCTTTGGGATTTTTTTAAACTATCATTTACATGATAGGCCAGAAAGGCTTTATTTATTTATTTATTTCAGAATGTCATGAAAAAAGTATGGTATTAACTATAGTAAGGGATTGCCACATTTCACAATTAGGGATTTGTTTGTGTGTAGAGACTCTCCTACTTCAAGACTACATTCCAAAGTGTAGTTCACAGCAGCCTTTTCCCTTACTGAGCCTGATAACATTAGCTTTGATGGCACAAACATTTCTGCAGATTGTACAGCATGCATTTGAAATGACAGAACAGTTTGGGATGTTGTGTCCACCCAAATACTGGACAGGCCAGTGATTTCTTGTCTTGACATTTTGCCTGTAGCAAGTGCTTTGTGTTGTAAAACTAATTCTTAGGTTTTCCATTCTAAGTTTTGGACTGTCCTGTTTGTATGTGTCAACAAAGGAAAACAATCGCACTCATGAGAAGGACCATGGAATCTTTCCCCACCTTCATTCAGAGCTATGCAAACAGTTTTATATATTACACTGCAAAAATACCAGAAACCAGCCCTCCACATGCTATACAGTTTGAGTCATGAGAGCCTGACTTAACAGGGGGTGGATAGAAATACCACAGACAGTTTTAAAAACTCTAAAACATTTCTAAATATTGTTTTCTGTCTCTTGTATACACATGATGGTGCGGTGGGGTAGTTACAGTTTTGTTGACACTTGTCTGGGATGACCTTGACTCTGGAAAGGATCCAGAGGCGAGCAACAAAGATGATCAAAGGGATGGAAGGGAAGCCTGATCAAAGCTATGATCAAAGCTGAAGGAGCTGGGTATGTTTAGTTTGGAAAAAAGGATATCAAGGGGGGTTATGATAGCAGTCTTCAGATACTTGAAAGGCTGCCATAAAAAGATGGAGAAAAGTTGTTCTCTTTTGCCATAGAGAGCAGGACAAGAGGCAATGGGTTCAAACTACAGCATAACTGATTTAGATTAATTTCAGGAAAAACATCCTAATTGTAAGAACAGCAGGACAATGGAACAGACTGCCGAGAAAGGTTGTGGAATCTTCTTCACTGGAGGTTTTCAAAAGGAAGCTGGATCGCCACCGGTCTTGGATGGTTTAGACAGAGCAAATTCTGCATCTGGGCAGGGGCTTAGACGAGATGACCCTTGCAATCTTTTCTAATCCTATGATTCTATAATTCGCTCACTCATGACTTCAGAATTCATGGCATACGAGGCTGTATCAAACTGGTGCTTTGTGACTCTTTTACCCCATACCGTGGCATGATGTCCTTTATAATTACTTAATGTTTCAAAAATCAATTCGGAGGGGAGGGCTTCGGGAGGGTTCTCTCAATGTAATGTACTGAAAAAACAAATGTACTATAGTTATATTCTGGGGACAAAATTGACCTATAGGGAGGAATGAAACAGAGGCAAGCTCTAGGACAGGACAGGAAGAAGGTGGAAAACAAGTCAAAGGGTTAGAAAATAGTGGGGTTTATATGTATATATATATATATATATATATATATTCCCTTTCTAAAGTTTTGCGTCCATATTTTTTGAGTGTTTTTCCTTTTCTTTCCTGTGTGTTTTGGAATTGTTTTGCTTCTTTTAAAGGAGATGAGAAGCTGAGATGGAACATCTTTTTCACTGACAAACAGCCTGGAAATTCTGAGTTTAGGAGTCAAACTGGACAGTGAGGTATTAGTAACTGTAGAGTGTCCCTGCATTCTTATTGTCTCAGTAATTCCATTTCAATATATTATATTTTGCTTTACCTAACTCGAGAATGGGGTGGGGGATTTGCCCATTAATTAAAATATTTAACAATCATTCTAGGTGTAAGCCCCAATTCTGCAAGTACTTGTATAACTTTACTCACATGAAGAATCCCATTGGCTTCAATGAGATTACTCACCTGAAGTTACACATATGCGTGTCAGCCGGGTTGGAGCCTTTGGGATTATTTTCTTGAATTTTTTCATACTCGTAAATCTTGTGAATTCCTGAAATATAGAACAGTTGTTTGAATCCTGTTTCCCTTATACTTGGTGTCTTTATAAATGTTCTGTGGCATTCGTGAAAATATACAGGAGGCTTCCAGTAGCTAATTTAATACCTGTAAATCCCCATGGTTTAAGGAAAGGTTGTTGTCAATGGGACATAAGTATCTGCTTTGTATTTCAAAGGTCAGGAGCTCAAGTCCTGTGAAAGTGATGCTTTTATTAACTTTTTTCTGTCAGTGAGATAATAGATTAATTAGCTCGCACCACAATTAGAGCTAACTTGGTTTCTCATTCCTGGGGTTCATAAGCATGCACATGAGAGCTCTGAATTGGAGTGGTTGGACCAATTTAGACCCAGAGGACCTAGCTAAACAAATTGCTGAAACTTTTCTAACAATCATTCATTTTATAACTTGGTTAATTTTTTCATGTGAAATGTCCTGGATCAGTCTAAGTATTTTCTTAATAGTTTGACTGCTTATCATAGAATCATAGAATATCAGGGTTGGAACGGACCTTAGGAGGTCATCTAGTCCAACCCCCTGCTCAAAGCAGGACCAATCCGCAACTAAATCGTATAAGTTCTATCTTTCATTCTCCTGAGAATGTTAATATTCTATTTCTCATGTTCTGTTTCAGTCCAGATGCCTGGGTTTTGGGACCCTCTCGTATAACAGATTAACAGATTTTAAAGCCAGAATTGACTATTAACTCACCTAGTCTGACCTTCCATATAAGCCAGGTCATAGAATTTCTCACAGTTGCCCCTGTATTGAGCTTAAGAACTTGTGTCTGACTAAAGCATATCTTCCAGTAAGGTATCCACTGCTCCCTTGGCTGCTTGTTCCAATCATTAGGCACCGTTGACCTAGATACCACTAAGTGTCTGGAAATGAACATTCCGATTCAAGTGATTGCACCTGTCCATTCCACTATAGGTGTGTGTGCACCTCATGCACAGTT